TTGTCGCTTTGTTGAAGTAAATATTTCAATCGGAATCCATCCCCACTATTGATGGCAACCGACCGATGGCAAATCGCTAATCTCTACAGCCTAACCACTTTTCAATCTACTATTTTCACTCCAGTGATCTCATACAATACTAGTGGATTCCTGATTAATTCCTGGCTTCCTCGTGGAATCCTGACTTTCATCCGTGCCCCTCCTTCATATGCGCCTTCAGAAATCATTTGAGATTTGTTGATTTCGTCAGCGGAAGACATACATCGAAAAAGAACGTCTTTTTGGTTTGCGATGCAGTTTTGAATTCAAAACATCGTCCTCAACGGTGGCGCGTCTTGTTTTATTGTTTGCATGTATGCGTAAGTGAATGCTTTTGTACGCATCACATGCATTTACAGAAGAAATGATGAGGAATGAGTGCTGGTCTCTTTTAAGAATTGGCGCGATTTTCAATGGATTGTGCTGCTGAGAGAAGAGATAATTGAATCAATGAGAAAGAGATGGTGATGATGATTAACGTATATCCATCCATTCATCCGTCCAACCGTCTATGGCTCTGTGCGTAACGTTAACAATTGATCGAATTTGATCTGATTCCTAATTGCGTTTCATTTTTATTCATTTATTGAACGATTTTTGTTCATTTAGCGAATTTCTCAAGTGAAACAAACCTTCGCTGAATTCAAATTTTCAATTGTTTTTCTGTCATAAATTAAGTGCGCATCATTATGAACTATACGCTTTGTAGTTGTTTTGCTTTGTTTTGGTTCTTTTTGAGAATAATTTGAGAAATATCGCTGCCACCTAGAATGCATGGTTATTGATGGTTTGATAGTTGGGTGATTGAGGATGGTGCTGGAGAATGATGTGAGATGATGATGAGTTAGTTGGTGGCGATTGGAGAATATTCAGTTAGAACGAAGTGATCAGAGAGGAAATGCGAAGCACAACTGATAGAGCGTTTCTACATGAATCTTTTACTTGATCACCGCATTTTGAGGGGTTCATTAATTTAGGTTTTCCATCAATTCCTCACTTTCGCACGCCATAACATAATGACAGAACGCCAGAGTATTCAGATTAATATTATCGTTTGTTTATCAGGGTATATTCAATATTCAAATAATTATCCTATCATCAAACGCTGTTTGATAGAGTTGTGAATGTTCGTTGTTCTTTGCATAACGCATCGACGACGTTCATTGTGTAAAACACAAAAGCTCATCGTCATAATTTATGAGCAGTTTAATTAAGATGTTTTATCGTGCATGCCGAGGGCACAAAGCGCACAGCACTTTCACATTTCTAAAACACAGACAGAGTCTGGCGTAAGATATCATGAAGGTTTTAGCTGCTGTTTTGATGCTTGTTCGTTGAGCAATGCGATTACTCAGCTAAACAAAGCAATTTCACTTACCAGCTTTTTGCACTGTTCTTTGGAATCACTCAATTTGGTAGCGAAATGAATTTTATCACTAATACAATAAAATTTAAGAAATTCGTCATTAACTGCTGCATTTTTCACAATTGCCGAATTGCCATAAAATCGTGCATAAAACAGTGAACAAAATATCGCTTTGTTCATTTGATATTTATCAGGTCTCTTCATTTATGAAGTTATAAATTACTGATCGTGAGTATCGAACCGATTTCATTGCATTACATCAAAGGCTGTTACCCAACGTGAACTCTTCAATACTCATCTAAATTTTACGTGACCATCTCTGATCATTATTAATATCTCATTTCTAACGGTGTTATTGTCACATAAGAAGGTAGTTAAATGAATTTATATGCGTAATGTAATGATTTGTAAGTCGTAAATATGCTGAATCCAGGTGCTCGTAGGTTGTCTATGGGTGAAATGATATCAGTTGATATGACCTTATTTCTGTTTGCTGCGTTATAAGTGCAAATAATTATCATTAACTATTTCTCCACATGCCGTATTCGTCATGTTCACATTGATTTAAAATCAAAAGAGTTCCTCAACCGGTTGAAAGTGTTCTCGTTTCGTAACTTATCTGCTCATAAATTTCAGGCAGAATAAATTCCTCGAAATAATTCGCTTCAGCATTTACATCCACCACAAAAAAATTTCGCATTAAAATTTCAATTTCACCTAATTAATTTTTATTGAACCATTCAGTTGTGACAATTGAATATTAATTTGAATCGTTTCGCTCATTGATTTTCAATCAAATGACTTCGGATAATACTTATTATTCACGCTATTCAATCGCTTTTCCAACCGAATGCTTTATCTCTCAAATATTTCATCAAAACTAAGAATGTCTATTTCAAAGAACTCTAAAAAACTTCACTGAACAAAAGGATGGCATAAAATGGATCAATACACAAAGTTGATTGAGTTCTGTTCCATTTGAATTTCCTGTTGGAAGAACATCAGCGTAATGATGACTTACTTCGTCTGTATTCGTTGTTTTTGATGTGTTGTGCTCTCTCAAAATGACCATCTCTCAAATAATGCCATTAGCAATCCGTTTCAAACTTTCTTTCTACTTTTGTAAACAACAGAAAATTGTTTGTTCCCGGCGTATTGTTAACAGCAAATAAGAATAGTTACGCGTGGAAATGTTCAAAAATCACGAATGATGTGTACATTCTCATAATGAGATATTTCGAATTCAAACCTCTGAATGTTCACGTCAGCGCAAAACGGTGAAATTGTTTAGTTAAGATGTTACCGAGTGTTTTTTTTTCTTGTGCTCTGCAAATTCATCACTGGTCATTTTTCTGCTGTCGAAATACGTTTCCTGTTTGCTTAGCGAACAGCTTTTTGTGCTGCTGAAATCTCTTGTTCAGCTGAGCTATTTCCCACTGGACGTGAATGTGTCAAACACAATCAGATTGATTCAGCTCTAAATACCCCACCATAAATACGTCTAATATTCATTTTCTTATTTTATGAGTTTTGCAAATTTATGAAAAGCGTCAATTCTCTATTGAAATTTTCCGATCGTGTCATCTTGTAATGCTGACGGGCATATGTATATGTGAAGCCGGATAACCAGAATGAAAAAGTTCTCACGAGTTGACAAGATATTCGGCGAAACCTAGCTAACTGAGCAAGTCATCCATCACATGAATGTTGTTCACATTTCGTCGTATCTCTTCTTTAATCCACTGACTCTCCATTAAACAAAATTACTGCTTGCCATAGAACAATAAAAGATGCATTATATTATATAAGAAAATAGCGAATAGCTGTAAAATTTATTCAATAAGACAGCAAACACCCAACAGCACACTTACCATGGTCCGTCGGAAATCTGAAGGTGCTGAAGTTGAACGTCTAAATTCCAGTCACAAATGTCGTTTAGAATGCGAACATGAATCAACTGATGATAGATGCAACGCAGTTCAAAGTGGTATTTCGAGGTGTTCTCAGTAGAAATATTTGATTTGTTCATAAATTGTTTTTACGTTGTACTCACTCAATTCTTCATTTATATTTCCTTTAGCCTCTCACAACGAGACTTCTTCGAGTAACCTTCATCAAGTTTCATTCTCTTGTTCACACTTCCGTTCCTTCATCAATCCTTCATGTTTTTGTACTGCATTGTTTACTCTGTTAACGCCACCTCTAATGTTTTCTCACGTTAACAAGACATTTCACAGCAACAAATACAAACACTACTTAAAGAATTTGAACTGGTTCACATTGCACCGTTCGTTCGCAATGTGATGTTAGTCTGGAGGTGCAATAAAGGAAATAGAACGAAACTAAAGACAAATGATACGATAGGAGTGTGGAATAAGTTGAGTTGGGTGAGCTCATCGGTTTTGGTTTGTCGGTTCATTCGTTTCTGTTTGTGGGTGGATATTTGTCTGGCAAACTAGATAATACCCTCCCTCGCTGTGTTCCTTCATCGAGCCAGCCAGCCTCCTACTCCTCCTCCACCAGCCGAATGATGAACAACGTCTTCCATAAATGCTACTATCACGATAGTAAACACATAAGGAAAGAAACTCACAAAACAGCCGTCGAAATAAGTGTTCAACACCATCACCATCTCCTCATCTGCTGCTTTCATATCATATTATAGTCGTTTGTGACTGTGGCAAAAGTTTGTGACTGTTGTGATTAGTAATCAGCAACTATCAAAAACAAGTGTTGTTTGCTTTGTTGGTTTTTAGTTTCTTATTCATACACTCGTTTTTCTTGACTGCCTTATCGACTGACGTCTCCGGCACTCGAGAAGAAAGTTTCATTGTTATTCATCGCCAATTCTGCTGTAAATTTATGCTGCACTTCCAATAACAAGCATACAATTAATTCTAAACTGGTATCGCATCGCGTTCGTTCCCTGCATTAATTTTATTCACTGAACGGTTGCTTGCGCCGCCCTGCCCTAAGTGAGCATTTTCGGATCAGATTTTGACGAATATTCATTCCTATTCGTCGACAACAACAAATTGACGAGAACAACTGATCGGATTTCGTTTTGTCTGCAATGTTTTCGCTTCTGTGCCGAAAATAATAATAAGCTTACAAAAAGAGTACAGTGAGTGGACTGTGCATCGTCAAAGATTAGCGTCATCGCGTTGGCACTCATTCGTATATCGTCGCGTTGTGTGTGCTTGGCAAAAAGCATTTTTCGGTTCGACGATTCATCATGCAATACGCTTAGTGCTCGTCTATTATTGCATGCACAACACTCCGTAAAGCGAGTGATCGAAAAACGATATTGGCGATTGTTGTTGTTATTTCGTTCGTTCCGTTCCGTTTCGGTACGAACACATCGGTTATTGATTGATTATTGTTAAATTTTTATTCATTTGGGTGA